TACTGCTGCAGATCCGAAGGTCCTGAGTTCGAGTCCCAGGTCGGCTCAAGAGAATTATTTATTCTCTCTATCAATTATTACAGCAAATGAACGAAGATCACGTCAATAAGTACATTTCGTACACTAATACAATATTTTGGAATTTTCGTTACTTAAAAAAACTGTGCCGTTCATTCTTATGGTCATACGAATTGTTATAGAAATTACCCTGAAATAAAAACAATCTTTTATAATTCAAGATTTGTTGATGGTTGTAAAGATTGAATCATATTGGTTTTAATGTCTCCATAATAATAGTTATTAATTAAAAAAGTTAAAGTAAAATCACGAAAGGATTCGAAATAAGTTTTACTTCAAAATTTCAAAATATTTTAAATAAAACCATATTTTCATATTTTGTCGCGGATTTATTATGATTTTTGGTTTCCGACGTTTCGAATATTTTACAGCAATCATGGTCACGGGAGAGTCTCATAAGAGTGGTCTCAAAGGCGTTATATATTTGTTTACTTAACTATCCTTAAAGTTGTTTCCCCCATACAAACTTTCATCCCCATTCTCACCCCCTTAAGGAGTGATTTCCGGCATAAAAACTATTCACTCACTTTTCATTATCATGAGATTTAAAAAAAACTTATTTTAGTAAAAAAAAACATTTTTCTTTTCATTTTCTTCTATACAAAACACAAAAAAAGCGCGTTATGCGCGTACATACATTTCTGTAATTCATATCTATTTATATACATGTCAAATATTCGCTTAAATCTAAGAAAGTAATATGTTAAAATATATTCGCGTAAATTTAAAAAAATGTGTTATTTACAAAGTATATTCGCGTAAACCTTAAAAAAATTAATTCTTTAATTTCGACGTACAGTCAATTTGACACCAAATCTGCCAACCCGTACTTAACCAGCGTATTGGACTATGGCCTTATTAAAGGGAAGCCTGTGTCCAGCAGTGGGACGTTAGAAAGGGCTGAATACAACTTGTAAATCTATACATATAATAAAATTCTGAGTCAAATGTGTACATTAAATATTTTCTGGAAAATCTTATTGAAATAGACATTTTTATCGATACAGATTCCGAATCTATAGTTTTTAGAATTTTTGTCTGTCTGTCTGTCTGTCTGTCTGTCTGTTACCGCATCACGGAAAAACTACTGGACGGATTTTGATGAAATTTGGGTATGGCCATAGCTAATTATCCGGGGCAACATATAGGATACTTTTTATAACGGAAAAATATCTCATTTCTGCGAAAAAATACAAAACCTGTAATGTAAGAGTATACTTATATGTAAAACCTAAGAATTTGGTTTTTGGTTATCTGAAAGCGGGCGTAGCTGCGGGCAATGCTAGTACGAATATAACTAAAACGTACATTGACATCAAGATGTTAGCTGACACATGATTTACCATAAAACCCTATTAGATGAAATAATCCTTATGAAAGGATCGACAATAAAATGGAGATTATCTCAACCGTATTCCTAAGAGTCTGAAAATTTCAACAGACCAAATGATGCTGCCCCAAACAATAGACATTATCCCAACGCAAATAATAACGGTCCTGGACTTTGTTTAGACCCTTCGGATCACGTGAAGAAAAATCGTAAAATATTTACTGCTTATGTGAATAACTATATAAGTGCTTTACATTTATCTATATAATTAAATATGTATAATTTTGTTTATAGAAAACCACAAAACGAAACGTAGAACACAATTTTTATCATTTTTGTCTGCCTGTCTGTTCGTTGCGGTTAATCTCCAAAACGGTTGGACTGATTTTGACGGGACTTTCACTGGTAGATAGCTGTAGTTATAAGTACTAACTTAGGCTACTTTTATTTTAGAAAAAGAATTAGGGTTGCGCGCAGAAAAATTAAAACCCTTGTAATTGTGAACAAAATCCAGCCAGGAACGCACCCGTTTAATTACATAATATTAACACATGACTAAGCAATAAAAAGTGTATACAATTAGATTTATGAGTGGCCAATCAAGAACAATGTGCTTTTTGAACTCGTTCTAATTCCAGCTTTCGAAGTTCGATAAAGCTTTGTACAATTTCACCCTTTATTAGAAAACCAATACCGAAATTCATACGTACGTAACTCTTTGAACGGAAATCGTGTTGAGTTTAGGGGTAGGGTTGATAAAAAACGACATATTGTAGGCATTAAATATTTTTTGTCTTCTTAAGCTTGAGTTGTTACAGCTTAATCTCTTACTTTAATTTTATTTTCGTTATAACTTGTGACATTTTCGGCTTGAAAAAATAGCTTATGTAATATGTGTTATAGCTAACTAGGCACGTTTTATTTTTTTGAGCGGAACCCTAATTCTTTTTCGAAAATAAAAGTAGCCTATGTTACTCCCTATAACATCAGCTATCTTTCAGTGAAAGTCCCGTCAAAATCAGTCCAGCCGTTACAGAGATTACCCGGAACAAACAGACAGACATATTATTTTTTTAAATATGTGTTTTTCTTATACTTCATAAGCATAGTAAAACGCTGTTATTTTGACATTACAAACAGACACTTCAATTTTAATTATCTGTACAGATTAGCCTATATAGGCTAATTAATTCCAAACGTGGAACATCCCATAGACTATTTTTATTCAAAAAACACGTGATTCCGTCATTCGTTCTATTGCTGAGTGGAAAAAAACTTGCCTACAAACACAATTTATATTTGAAAAAATATATAGTTTTATTAGATTTTCTCTCGATTTTATTTAAAGAGTATAGCCGGTTAAGTATAGCGATGGCAACCTACTCGTATCTCGAAACTTATGTGTCAATAAGGGCTTGATGTAGAAAAGTGATTCATATATAAGTTTTACTGCCGTACTCCGCTTTGATATTGAGATATGAAAAAAATGAGTGTAAGTATGCTTTTCGTTTAAAATAGCATATCTCGGATACCTTAAACACTAGAAACTTAAAGCAAACGCGAGGTTTTAGATAACTTTTGAGAGTATATTATACATTGTTTTTTCTATTTTTGGAATTATTATAACCTTTAAAAAAAATATTATTTCAGCTGCTACGTAAGAGCAGCATATCACTGTGCAGTTGCCACTGGGCCTCAAGATTAAATTTCAAGGGATGCCAATAAAGGCGAAAAACCTTAAGTCTGCCTTTAGATTGTTCAAATTGACGACACGTTTGGCTCATTTTGTAGTGACTCTACGCAGTGTTGACCCGCTGGAGGCATTCATTTGTGTGTTGAGCACGAATGTTTGTATTCCAGTCATGGGTATTTATATTTATAATATCTATATTTTACAGTTATATATGTGTAGTGTATCAACTATCTGGTATCCATAACACAAGCCTCGAAGCTCACCATGGAACTAGATGGTGCTGTGTAATAATATAATTTTTATATGTTGGGACCAACATATAAAATTAAAAATAAAATAAAACCCATTTCATATGTTTCACGCATTGTAGTTGTTTATTTAGAAGTGAACTATGAGTATGAATGAAAAATGAATTAATTTAAAGTATATCATACATTATTCTCATTATTTTACAATCGTATTTTATCCGTGTATCGAAGTGTTTCATATCTTTACAGATTTTGTCGCGCGACTCGTCCTTTAAACTGTAGCCGCGCGGGTCACAGGAACAGCAATGACCGCACTTACAGAACGCACAGCATGCTTTCACTAAATCCCAAGCTCCTGAGAATTTATTAAATTAATATTATTAATTCTTATGTCGTCATCGTTAACAATAAAGAGCAAAGTTCCATTGGGCTTAAGTGGTTGATACTGGCTTTGCCGGTGAGTCCCACATAACCACCTGTGTATATGCATTTCGGAACTTTGAAAAAAAGGTGTACACCCAGATGCCTGTTTTCTACTCTAGATCATCTGTATACTAAATTTAATCAAAATCTGTCCAGCTGTTTCAGCTCAAAGGAATACTATACACACATACAAATTTTCATATTTATAGCACGAGTAGTAATCGAACAAGTATTGCAAATAAATAGATCTTTCACAAAAAAAATTACAAAAGTTTTGTATCAGTATCTCTTTGTACTGTATTGTATAACGCCTTATTCAGCTTTTTGACACAATATATATATACGACACAATATATATATATATATATTATATATATATATATATATATATATATATATATATATATATATATATATTATATATATATATATAACATCACTTCCTGGCCAAGAGAATAACGTATTGGACATACTTTGGCTAAGTAATTAAAGTCTACCTATTAAATACATACCTAATCAAATATTTTCGAAATCGGTGCCAGCCCATACAAAGCAAAGCACACCGACTTCGAAAATATTTGATTAGGTATGTATAGTAAATAAAAACGACCAATCAGTTATTTTTACTTTTTAGTGCTTTTGTTTGAAGTCGGTTTTTTTATTTTTTTGTTAAAAAGTTTTTTATATTAAATGAGGTTATAAGGTATCTAATACCACGATACATTTCGACGGAACGGAGAAATTATACAGTAAAATACGCGTGGATAAGAAGGCATAAGTCTGTCATTATATTATTATGTTGCTTCTAATGGGCATGCTATGTGGCTTAAAATATAATAGACTAGCGACTCATCCTCGTTTCGCTCTTATTCGTCCCTAAGTTGCTTCCCCATACAAACTTTCATCCCTTAATACTTAAGGATCGATTTCTCGGATAAAAACTATCCTATGTCCTTCCTAAGGTCTCAAACTATCTTCTAACCAAATCTCATCTAAATCGATTTTGTAGTTTTGTAGTTTATTTGATACAAGTAAACAAACAAACAAGCAAAAAAATCTTTCCTCTTTATAATATATATTAGTATAGATAGTCGATAAATTAAAGTCTCAAAGCCCCACAACATACCAATTGCACCGTATTTGATTTTAAAACTACTTACGGTATCGCTTTGACCGTTTACATTATAAATTAGATTACTATCACTAATATTATGCAATTCTATTTTCAGATTGCTTTAACCGTATCATCCTTAGGGGAGGAAAAGATTAGTGCATTACCAAGTCTCTTTGCCATTTCTGCGAACTTCAAATACGATGTTTCTGTTGTATCTTCTATTGGAGCTTCACAAATTCTCACGATATTCGTTGGTTTCGTGTAATTTCGCTTTTGAATTGTGACGTGCTTAGATTTTCCAAATATTGGACACGGACCGTTGGGAGAGATGTTCTGTAACAATAATTTTAGACATTTGTATGTAACTTCATATAAATTATCTAACTAGCGACTTATCCCCGCTTCACTTGAGTGTGTCTTTAGATACGTTTTAAATAGATAAAAATAAAAATAGGTTTTTAATTTTTATGCGCGGAATCCTCACTCTTTTTCTGAAATAAAATTAGCCTAAGTTACTCCTTACAATATCACCTATCAGGAAGTGAAATTCCATTAAAATTGCTTCAGCCGTTTCGGAGATTAGCCGGAACAAACAGATGGACAGAAAGGCAGACGGACAAAGACAAACATTTTTAAAATCGTTTCTTTTTCTTAAAAGTACCGGTTATACTTTCATATGCATTTAGTAAGAAAAAACTGATATTTTGACATTACAAACAGACACTCTCACTCTATTTTATTTATTTGTATCGATTCTATCGATAAAATCAACAGTGGGATTCTTCCACACGTTTTACGAGAAAAATACAAACATTTGACGACACATTTGGCTCAGTTTTTAGTGATCCTACTTGCTGTGCCAGCGGTCGCGGATTGGAGTCCCGCTGGGGGCATTCATTTGTGTGATGAGCACGAATGTTTTTACTCCAGTCATGGGTGTTTAAATATATAATATTTATGTATTTAAAGTTATATACATATGTGTAATGTATCAACTATCTGGTATCCATAACACAAACCTCGTAGTTTACCATGGAACTAGATGTTAATGTCCCAACATATTTATTTATATTTAACTTAAATAGCACAGTACTATACATCCTTAACTAGCCACCGAATAGGGTGTCTACATGATAATCAAAACCTTAAACCAAAATTGAATGCCTAAAAGCTACCAAAGCTCAGAAATGACAAGAATTTTACCAATAGACCTAACATTGCTATAAAGACCTAACATAAATTTTGCTTTAATAGAAATTTTAGAATGCTTTAAGCTCAAAGTGACTTACGATAAAAAGCTTGGCCATACCTTTGATATAAAGACAAATATACAGTAAATAAAATATAAGCTACTTGGTAGGGGTGTGCTACAAAATGCTTATGAAATGAATTAATCATTCTTTCACATAACAACAGCGTATTGCAAGCTATTTTTTTTATCTCGTGTCACGGTGTTTGTGGTCGTACTCCTCCGAAACTGCTCGACCGATTTCAATGATATTTTTGTATATTTGGTAGATATGAGAATAGGTCATTCTTCATCCTCCTACATAATATGTACACAAAACATTCAAGACTCTAGAATAGTTTTTCAACGTGGACATTTTTGGCCGTGAACCAAAGGACTCCGGAACGAGTCAAATGAAAAAGTTTAATTGGAAGAATGGCCACGTTACAAGATTATTAAACTCTACTTAACTTTGTGGCAGTGTTATGTCAGTTGTAACTGGAAACAGAGTGAAGCGGCTTCAAATCCCAGGTCTCGCACTTCTAATATTGTCATATCATTGCAAATCATTTCCAACATGATTACCACTTGTCTTACGGTGAAGAAAAACATCGTGAGGAAAATTACATGTCTGAGATCTCTCTCTTAGTAAGTTTTAGATAGAGATGTGAAGCAACCCGCGCTTGGTCAGCGTGGTGGACTTTGGCCTGATCACCCTCGTATTGAAGGAAGGCCCTTGCCCAGCAATGTGACGTTAGAAAAAGCTGAATATATGCATACATACTTAACTTTTACCTAAAAATATATGATGTTCTCCTAGCCGATTCCGGCCACGGCGGCCAATCTCATTGAGGCTCGCCAACTGCGCAGGATATATTATAGTGCACAAGTGTACGCGCAGACACAAAGTGCACTCTCTATTCCTGTCACTCTCATACTCCAGTGGGACGACACGAGACACGACCAGTGAGAGCTAAGGCGCAGGACCGACGGCTTTACGTGCTCTCCGAGGGACGGGGGTGAAATACCGCCAACTTCCCAACTTCGGGCTATTACTGAGGCTTACTTATACAGAAAGACTCAATAACTAAACTTGGCCCGACCCGGGACTCGAATCGAGGAACCTCCGGGTGTGCAGTCGTACATGCTAGCCACTACACCACCGAGGCTGTTAGGTAAAAATATAAAAGATGGTACAAATTATTATTAAAAATGTAGTGAAATCGAATATCGATGCTATAAAATAAACATTTATTGTATAGTAAAAATACATTTTTGATGCGTTGATACCCGCAGACGTTCAATGTCCTTTAATTGAAATTGTAGAGCGAAGTGAGCATTCTAATATCATATCTTAAGCAACAATAGTTTATTGTAACAATTTAACAAAGTAGTGTAATAAATCTTAAAAATACTTTAACTTTTGTATGCAAATGCTTAACAAGGTTTCGCCGGCAGCAATACTCGTGTAATAGGTACGTCGATAAAAGCCAATGTGTTAAATCAAGATATAATTTATCTCCAATTCAATTTTCAATCCAATTTGTTCAGAAATGCGATGAAGTAACAAATAAACTCACTTACTTTCTCACTTATAAACTTTTTTTGTAGCTTTTTATATACAACTAGCGAATTGCTCTCGCCTTGTTAATTATATTTATTAGTAGCAGCTCATCCTCACTTCGCTCGGGTTTACCTCTAGACAAAGAAAAACAAATCTATCCCATGGGAACTGTACATTTTTCTGAGATTAAAAGTAGCCTATTTGTTATTCTGATGTATGAACTGTATTATTGTAAAGTTTCATTAAAATGCAATCAGTAATTTTTGTGTACTAAGCTGTATAGTTTTTTAACTATCCCACGGGAACTTCATAATATTTCGGGATGAAAAGTATCTTAAATGTTGACTGGGGATAAAAAGTACCACCATGCAAAATTTCATTCAAATCGGTCCAACAGTTTCGGAGATTAGCCCGTACAAACAGACAAACCTACAAACAGACAAAAACAAAAAATTGAAAAAAATCTGGGTTTGTTCTATTTCTCGTCTTACATCCCCCTGAATCGGTTTTTAGAAAAAAAATTCTATGTACAGATTCGACCTCTACAGTTTTATTATATACATATAGATAATAATTAATTATTTAATGGTCAATCTGTGTACTAAATTTTATCCAAATTCGTCCAGCCGTTTCGGCGTGAAAGAGTAACAAACATATACACATACAAACGTTTGACTCAGTTTGTAGTGACCCTACTTTCTGTATCAGCGCTCGCGGGTTCGAGTCCCCCTGGTTCATTTATTTGATGAGCACGAATGTTTGTACCCCAAAATGTTCAATAACGATTATGATCGGATTACGACTACTGGGTGAATACTAGTTAATCTTACTATAAACTTACTGCAATATTATAAATGTGAAAGTTTACTTGTTTGGTTTGGATGGATGTTTGTTACTCAATCACGCCAAAACGGCTGAACTGATCTACATGAAAGCTGCCACAGAGACAGTCTGGAATAGCATATTTACACTTTTTATCCCGGAAAAATGTAAGATTCCCGTGGAATATATTTGTTTTTTGTCTTTCTAGAGGCGAGAAGATTTCATCGACGTATTCACAACAACAAGGTTTAAACCGACATACAAAAAACTAAACATGTGTGGTGTACAATAAAATCTACGTAATAAATTATTTTATACCGTAGGCCATCTACGAAAACATTCTTGTAGCGGTTTCCTTTCTAAAAGGAGTTCTGCTGAGGTTTTCTGAACTTCCCCTTTCCAGTCACGTCTACGGCTTTTGCAAATCGGTCGGCATCTAAAGTAACCTTTTAGATTTGATTATGTTTTTAAATTACAAATTTTTAATTTTTTAAATGAATTTTACCCTCTAATTGTAATTTACATATTAAATTATTTTAACCAAGCCAGTTTTGTGGTTCTAAGGTAACATTTTGTGTGTATTTCATATGACATTTTTGCCAACAATTATGAACTTGCCAGGAATTATGAACAAGATTTTTTTTTTAAATCTCTCTGATATGAAAAGTGAAATCATTCCTTAAGGGGGTGAGAATGGGGACGAAAGCTTGTATAGGAAAGCAAGCTAGGGACGAACCCGAGCGAAGCGAGAGTGAGTCGCTAGTACTTATTTAAAAGTATATACTAACTTGCATTTACTATTTTCTTCTTGTCTTATTTTAGGTAGTTTTATCATTTCTACCAAAAATTTTATTCAATTTTTTTGTTCGAGTGAGATTAACCAATAAACAAAGATTCTGCACTGAGATTTGATTGCATGTAAAATAATCAATTCATCATAAGATTTGGACCTACAACATACAAGACGCCATAACATAATATAATATACAACATTAACAGATAGATTGATTTTTACCAAAATTTTCTTGAAGACATAAATGACAATATGTCAGTTTCCACAGAATATATAGGAATTAATTTTCTCAAGTTGTCATCTTGAGTGGAAAAAGGGCGGGAAAAGCGTACCTTCAAATTAAAAATAGTCAAGTTCTTTAAAAATAATGAATGAGTTATATGTAGTTTAGTATAACATAAAAATTATTTTGTTTTCTACAAAAGAAAAATAGAAACAAACAAAGGAGAAAAAGGTAGTGTTTTATAAGCATAGAAGATTTATATAGTTTAATAACCAGATTTGTCTACAATTTGAATTGTACGTATTTAATGATACTAAATATTTAAAAAAATAATGACTAACACATTTCGATCATATTTTATTTTGTTGTAAATAAATTAATATTAATGCAGTCACATAAATAAAGACAATTATTATACAAAAGATATGAGATGAAATATTAAATATTTAAATATGAATGTGTATGTCGTAAATTTACTTTTATCAACTTTTCTCGTTATTCATATTGCTTATGTCGCATCGTGAGATTTCAGTGAGTGTTGGTACAGGGCCCGGTGGGTTCATGGATCTGTAAAATAAATTGATTTACTTAATCGAGTTATTTAAAAAGTAGTGGAAGCCTTAATTTAAGGCAGTAATGACTCTTCAATATATTTTTTTTTTAATTAATTAAAAAAAAAAATTCTCAATGGTATTTTTTTTTTAATTCTAAAGTCTAACTTATGCATTCGTAAAGAAAGAAAATCAGTTCAAATATGATAAACGTAATAGATACATGTAACATATATTGAATTAAACCGCTGAAGAGATTACGAAATAACATACATTGACATAGGCCCACTTATCAATCAAAACCACGGTTATCACGCAAGCGAAGCCGCGGCCAAAAATTAGTACTATATAGTATATACTAATGAAAACAAAAAATATCCAAGCCCAAATTTATTTGATATACTCAGATAAACTCCGTCAGTAAATGGAGTTTACCTGAGTATATCAAATGAGTTTATCTGAGTACTCCCTTATGATCCACTTCCACTTGTTACTTTGATGTTGTGTTAATTAAAGACAAATAGTATAGAAGAATAAAATATAGGAAGGTATTCGACTAGTTGTACTGTAGGATATATACTTAGGATGTAGGAAGTCCCAAGATTCTAATTTTCGACACATTTCATACACTGTTCCGGGAGATTTGTCTTCCGATTTGTCCTTTGATCTCTTCTCTCTATGAGTGGCCTTTGATCGATCTAAAGTTACGAATAATTTTAAAATTTTATAAAAATATATTTTTAACAGTATAACTTTTAAAAAATTGAAGTCTTGAAGAGAGATTTCTTTCTTTGAATTCTCAGTAGCAGCCCCGAGTTGGGAAGTTGGCGGTGTTACCGTGGTGCCTCGGAAAGCACGTAAAACCGGTCGTTCCTGTGTATGTCGAAGTATTGTCTAATATTGAATAGAGAGTGCACGTTGTGTCTGCGCGCACACTTGTCTATACATATAATAAAATTGTAACTAAGCCGAATCTGTACATTAAATATTTTTTGGAAAATCTTATTGAAATAAATATTATTACCGATACAGAGGTCGAATCTATAGTTTTTAAAATTTTTGTCTGTCTGTCTATCTGTCTGTTACCGCATCACAGAAAAACCACTGAAGGGATTTTGATGAAATTTGGTATGGTGATAGCTGGTTATCCGGGTTAACATATTGGATACTTTTTACAGGAGGAAAATGTCTCATTTCTAAGAAAAAATACAAAAACTATAATGTAAGAGTATACTAATATGTAAAACCTAAGAATTTGGTTTTTGGTCATCTGAACGCGGGAAGAGCCGCGGGCAATGCTATTGTAATATAATATCTCCTGTGCAGATGGCTATTCCCAGTGAGATTGCCCGCCGTGGCCGAAATTGGTCATGCATAAGCTCATAATAGCAAATTCTAATATCTATAAAAATAATTTAATGAAAATATTATATTACTTTTACTCATATCAGTGACTGATGTTTTGTTGGTATAATCGTTTAATTCTTCCTTGCAGTATAAAGTTGGGAGTTTTGATTCAAAGGCATGGTTGATAAGACCTAGAATAAATGTTTTTTTATGAAACCTATACATATAATAAAATGGTAACAAAACGAAATCTGTACATTTTTTTTAAAACCAATATACTGCGTATACAGAATAATAGTTATTGCATTTTTTGTTTGTTTGTCTGTATATCTTTAACAGACTATGTTTAAATTAATTGTGTAAACGTTTTTTACAATAACTATTTTTTATCTTTTTTAAACGTACTTAAGGAAGCACCCGAAGCGAAGATAAGTCTCTATTTTATTTACTGCCTCGGTGGTGTAGTGGCTAGCATGTACGGCTGCACACCCGGAGGTCCTGGGTTCGAGTCCCGGGTCGGGCCAAGTTTAGTTATTGAGTCTTTCTGTATAGTAAGTCTCAGTAACAGCCCGGAGTTGGGAAGTTGGTGGTGTTTCACCCCCGTGCCTCTGTCCTGCGCCTTAACTCTCACCGGTCGTGTCAAGCAGTCGTCCCACCAGAGTATCAGAGTGACAGGAATAGAGAGTGCACTTGTGTCTGCGCGTACATTTTTGCACTATAATATCTCCTGCGCAGTTGACTAGTCTCAATGAGATTGGCCGCCGTAGCCAGAATCGGCCAGGAGAACATCATCATCATTTTTTTTAATAACACTAAAGCTCGTCAATTGCTACTAAATAAAAAAAACAAACAGAGGAGTAAAAGATAGTAAACTTTATTGTCTTTATCTAAATAAATAAGATAGTACTGCATTCATTTTAGCTTCAATTCACTGTGTGCTTCTGGGCAATTAAGCAAGACATTGAAACCGAAACAAACACAATATGGTCTCTAAAGTAATTTAATTTGACAGAAGAAAGTACGTAAGCACTTGTTCAGACATATTTTATTTTATAATAAAGCATTTTTACCTTTGTCTTCCACAAATTTTAACATAGACACGGCTGTCTTCTCCTTGACAATCGGAGTATTATATTTTTGTTTTATAATATTTTCTACAGGTTCAACTTTATCGGAAAACGACTCAAAGCTCTAAAAAAATAATACAATAGAATACACTGTAGCAATTTTAATGGTTCAATAAATAAAAAGTGTATAACTATAAAAGTATATTCTGGCACGTGACTTTGCTCTCTGGATACGTTGATGAATAGCAGCCCATGTGCTTATCCAATACTAGCGACTTCGTTCCTAGCTTGATTCCCTATACAAAGTGTCATCCCCATTTTCACCCCCTTAAGGGATGGTTTCCGGAGTAAAAAGTATCTTACGTCCTTTCCAGGGTCTCAAACTATCTTCATACTAAATTTAATCTAAATCGGTTCAATATATTCAGAGATTACCCCCTACAACGTCACAAACTCACAATCTCACAAACTCACAAACTTTACCTCTTTATAATATACATACAGGGTGGAACAAATCGATCGAGACATTTTATCCTTATCATAGAATCTATCCATTAATTCGATGAAATATTGACGGTCTACCTTTTTGCATTTTCAGTTGGTTCGATTATCGGTTTAGGTCACTTCTTTAAAAAAATGCAATTATTCTTATTTTTAAAAATAAAATAATATTTCTTTTGACTGAAATTTGATATTTTCAGTGTTTGAGACACTTTTCTTCTCTGTCCTGTGCGTTTATTCCACGATGTTATAGTCGATATGTATAATTTGTAAGATCTCATTGTTTTCTCCAATTCTAAGACGCAATGTTTGTTCGAGAGATTTTATCCTTCCTATAGACCCTATCGATTAATTCGATAAAATAGTGACGGTGTCCTTTTTTGCATTTTTATTTGGTTCTATTCCCGGTTCAGGTAAGCTTTGTAAAAAAAATTAATGCAGTTATTATAATTTTAAAAAAATGTTTCCTTTGAGTAAATCTTGATAACTTCAATATATAAGGTACTTTTCTTCCATGTCCCATCGATTTGTTCCACCCTGTATACTCCTAAGCTCTCTACATTCTGATTTTTAATAAAATCCATTAAGCCGTTATAGCTTTTAAGAAGTGAAAAGCACACCCTCACCCAGTTTCACATATATTATGCTAGTTGACCCGGCAATCCTGAACTTATTTTATTTAATTTGTTTGTAATCGTAGAGCTAAAAGCACTTTTCGTTTTTCCAGAATTTGCTAAATTTTCTGGCAAACTGCCTAGATTTTCCGTTTTTTTTCTTTTAAAAGAAATTATTCGACCTATTCCACAGAAACATTTAAAACAGTTTCCACTTAAAACAGAAATTAGCCAAATTCAAGCCATTGTCGAGTGTTGTGACCCAACATTTTATTCGCTAAGATTAGTCTGAATTCTAAACAAATCAAAATATACTTTATTTAAATAGACTTTTACAAAAACTTGCATTATCTATTATTACATATTTTGACATTTAAAATAAATATGAGTATGTAAGTCCATGAGAAGGTTAGGTACTACCGGCTCGAAAAGTAGTTCTGCTGAGAAAAGCCGGCGAGAAATTCAACAATCGCTATATTAAAAACAATGTTTATAGTGTGTGTTTAGTCTGAAAGAATCAAAGTATCATGATAATAATGACGGCACATTTGGCTCAGTTTGTAGTGACACTACTTGCTGTGCCAGCGGTCGCGAGTTCGACTCCCGCTGGGGACATTTATTTGTGTGATGAGCACGAATGCTTGTACTCCAGTCATGGGTGTTTATATTTATAATATGTATGTATTTAAAGTTATATATGTGTAGTGTATCAACTATCTGGTATCCATAACACAAGCCTCGCAGCTTACCATGGAACTAAACTAGGTGTTGTGTGTTAATGTCCCAACATTAAAAAATGTCATAAGCAAAAACTACAATTACATAATATACTTACGGTTATCGATTTTATTTTAAATTCAGGCTGGCTGTTAATAAAATCCCAGAACTCACAGCATTTTGTTTGATTGTATTCATTGTCAATATCTTCATTTGGAGTAAAATCTAGTAAAAGACGTTGTTCAACAAAGGGCTCCCCATAATCGCTGTTGCCTTCACTTTTCTCAAATAAATTACTTATTGACTCACATTCCGGTGAATTATCTTTTTTATTTTTAAAAATTATATCGCCACTCATTATGACTGTTTATTTTTGTGATGATTATGTTTTGGTTTGTTTTGATTTTGTTTGGTTAGAAATTAAAATAGAATTTTCATTGACAGTTTAATTTTTTTTTAATTTTAAATAAGTATCGGAAATAAGGACTTATATCCAAATATTTAGTGTATTTAGTAGTATTCAACCCCTTTTAACGTCCTACCGCTAGCCACGGGACTCTCTTCAATACGAGAAGGATCTGGTTATATAACCGAACTTGTGTACTCTCCACTTCTGGGCTAGCAGGTGGAGCTTCGTTGGAACTCCTCCATTTCTATGCAGACTCGAGAGAGCGCATCGGCAGCAAATGGAGAGTTAATAGCCTCTTCAGATAAAGGAAATGTAGCTTCGATCAGAGGTCTGATTTTGGCAGAAAAGTTGTCGACCCACTTTGAATAATGAGCAAATAGTCCAAAGGAAACTCATATTTGGAGTGTATATTTCCCAGTAGCTTTCATGAATTTGCGAAGGTTATTATCATGATCCTGCTTATCTCCTACTGTAAATGCATCTAGTTCCGTGAATCTATTTATAGTTTGAGAATAGTCAATGACAAGACGTTTCCGATGATAGTCATCACCAGTAACGAGTACTTGTGCCCTCCAAGGCGAGATACTGGGTTCGATAACCTTGTCTTTAAGTAAGTTGCTTATTTCGTGAAAGATTAGTAAAAATTGAAGCTGGTGGGACAGATGCCTCCAGTACATTGCAAACTTTCAAGGGCCCTTTGAATAATGAGCAAATAGTCCAAGGGCTCTTTTCAAAGTAGCTGTATCAGATGGGATAGGAAGATTTGTTAGTGGTTCCAATCGAGACTTGTCAGGTTTGATGACGTTATGACTGATGGTATAGCCGAGAAGATTTATGGATTCTGATTCAAAAGTGCATTTACTCATATTTAGAGTGAGTTTATATTTCTCAGTAGCTTTCATGAATTTGCGAAGGTTATCATCATGATCCTGCTTATCTTTTCCGCATACAGTCACATCGTCTAAGTAAGCATATGTACCTTTCAGTTTTTCCGAATCAATGATATACTGTAAAGTTCGCTGGAAAGCCGCCACACCATTTGTGACTCCAAATGGTATTCGTGTGAATTGGTAGAGGTTCCCGCACGTTTCGAAGGCTGTGTATACCTTCTCCTTTGGAAGAATGGGAACTTGGTGATAAGCACTTTTGAGGTCGATTTGGCTATAAATATTGTATTTAGCGACTTGAGTTATAATAGAATCGATGGTAGGTAAAGGATATGCATCTAGTTCCGTGAATCTATTTATAGTTTGAGAATAGTCAATGACAAGACGTTTCCGATGATAGTCATCGCCAGTAACGAGTACTTGTGCCCTCCAAGGCGAGATACTGGGTTCGATAACCTTGTCTTTAAGTAAGTTGCTTATTTCGTTAGATATAAATTCTTGGTCTTCCTGAGAATGCCGTCTGGAGCGAATAGCTATAGGTTTTATATTTGGTGAAAGATTAGTAAAAATTGAAGCTGGTGGGACAGATGCCTCCAGTACATTGCAAACTTTCAAGGGCCCTTTGTCTCCCCCGAACTGAAGTTCAAATGATGAGTGTTTTCCTAATATATCATGCTCAATGATAACGTCAGCACACAGATCGCCAACAATGAGCAGAGGTTGATGCTGGTATATATGTTTACCAATCTGAATTGTAGCGTAGCATAGTCCCTCAACATATGATATATTGTTAAGAGATGCTAAAGTTATCGCTTGTCGACAGGGCTTTCGTTTAAGGTTCATGGTTAGAGCAGTATTCTTATCGATAAAGCTGATTGAACTTCCGGTGTCAAGTAGCGCATCTGCTTGATAGTTGTTCAAGGTAATTGGAATGGTAGCTTTACGTAGGCTTGATGGCGCAGCAGCGGATATCATTGACAAATGAGAATCAGTAACTTGAGGTTGAGTAACGTCGTCATCGTCCATGGTAATAACATTTACGGTACGTTGACCTGGTCTTGAACTACGGCAAACAGTTGCAAAATGTCCTTTTTTGGAGCAAAGTTGACATTGGGCATTATTAGCGGGGCACTTGATTCTTTTATGAACATTGCCACCGCAGAAAAAGCATCGGCGGTCACTTTGCGTAGGGCGACTGTGATGAAAATTTTGAGGTTTTGATGCTGCCAAGTTGAGCTGTGGTTGCGATGCTTGAGTTTCAGAGATCGTGTTAACAGGAACAGCAGACGTTGATGGAGATGATACTGTTAGTAGTCGTGAAGTATTTTCAGCAGTTTCTAAAGATGTAGCCAGATTCAATGTTTCTTCCAGAGACATAGTAGATTTTTCTAGCAACCTTTCTCTTATTTTCTGAGACAATATTCCGGCAATGAACGTACCACGTACGGTTTCGTTTTGGTGTTCATTAGCAGTAACAGCTTTGAAGTGACATTCACGAGCAAGTATGGCAAGAGATCTCGAATACTCTGCTAACGTTTCGCCAGGCTGTTGCTTTCTAGTAACGAGGCGATGCCGAGCCAAGATAATATTTTTTTGTTTTTCATAGGTAGTACTGAGAGTGGTCATGGCATCGACGTACGTGGTGCAAGCTTGAATGAAGTTAAATATTGATGGCGAGATATGGTTTACAAGGAGTTTGTACTTAAGGGCATCGTCAGCCGAAGCGGCTTCCTGTGCGATAAAATTTTCAAATGAGTACTTCCAATGAATCCATTTCAAGTCTGAGCCGGCTATTGCGGGTTCCACGTCAAAGCGTTCAGGACGCAGATACCGAGATATTGAGAAAGACTTTTCCTTTTCGTCAGGCATAGTTGGTATCAGCGATACACAAAATTATTGTTGAATAAATTGATACAGATAATGATAGAACCAAATAGAATATTGGCTTTATTCAACAATAAAATAAGACATAGTAAATAATTAGGTATTGACAATTTGATAGTATAACACTGTTGACAATGTCATAATATTATCTAATATTATAAAGAAGGTAATTAAATAACATGTGACCTTCATACTTAACAAGGAGATCACATCAATAACACCACGCGGGCTGGTGGACTTATCTTTCGAAATTGCTAGGTTCTCTCAGACATGCAGGTTTCAATCACGATGTTTTCCATCACTGTAAAACAAGTGGTACTGATTCGCATATGAAAATATCAAAAGTGCGAGACCCGGGAATTGAACCTGCTTCACTCGCACTGTCCATGCACTGTATATTTTAGTGAAAGAATGAAATTATCAACGTTATGTAAAACGAGCCAAGGACTGAGTACTAGTTTAAATGTAAAGCTCAACTAGTTATATATACATGAGCTAAGTATATTTTTACCGAATTCATACACATTGAGTGTACTCTGTTAGTCTAGTGCTTTCAGTCTACTTCAAAATGTAACGAGCACTCTAAAATATTATAAGCGTATGCTTAATTGATATAAATATTTAAAAAAGGTAAGATACATAATATTGTGTAGGTATATATTTTTGTAAAAATTTTTAAAAATATTACATACTACTTTAACATTCTGGTGTTGTGGGTAATGAAACTGCAAATTACTGTGCAAAATTACAAGTTTTAAAACTCGACTCTAGATCTATTGCCCCTTAACCCCCAATGAGTGGTTACATTGTCGTGGTGGAGGGGTTCATTAACGTCTGGCAAACCAGCCGGGCGCGTAGCCAAGAGACTCACAGGAAGATAACCGACTACGAGAGGCGGAGTGCCATACGCGTTGCTCGTGGTACTTCTCTGAGAGCACAGTGAACCGTGGGAGCAACCCCTTGGCTGTGTGATCTGCTTCGGCAAATCTGCCGTCGGGGCGTCGTGGTTGAGTGCGTAAGCAATCCTGCGACGCCCCATTAAAACGGACGAGGTTCTGTTGGGATTTAGTGGGTAGTATTTTCTAGCCATTGAGTTCCACATAAACACCTGTAACGTACAGGTGGTATGCGTAAATGCATTTGCCAACATTAAAAAAAGATCTACTGACCCTTTATAAAAATTTTTTTAGGGAAAGCTTGTAATAATAATTGGAATCTATCAAAATCGTTTAAAGTAAGCTTTGTACAGCTCTTCAGGCAGACATCCCATGCGTTTTTGATTTCATCGTCTAAAACATGCGGAACGTTGGGTCATAGCTACAAGTACTTACTATTTGTCATCTGTGCTTTGGTCGCGCATGTACATCTGATCACCCAACAAGCTGGACTGCCTTCCAAGTGTGTTTCTTGGCTTCACGTCAGGTTTAGGGATGCACCCGAACGAAGCGAGGGTAAATTGCTTGTATTTAAATATAATTACAATTTGTGTATATGTCTATTTATTTTACCTCTTTTGACTCGATAACGAATGTATACTGTAATACTTTCTTAGATTTACGAGAATATTTGACATTTTAAATAAAACTATCTTTTCGGATTTTTCGCGGATTTATTTGGATTTTTGGTTCCCGACGTTTCGAATGCTTTACAGCATTCATGGTCACGGGAGAGACTGAGGTGTTATATGTCTCAAAGGTATAGTTGTTGCAGACAGCCTACCCACAAGTAACAAAATGAAAATTTCACCAATTACCTTACAATATTTTTTAACTTTAAACATTTTTATAATTTTAATTAGTTTTATAATTGAATATGGAATATTATTTATTTAATTTACAACTTAAGTACTAGAAAATTAAAACACAAATATTTTATTTATAATATTTAATATTATATTTATTTAATTATAATACACTAATTAATAGGTAAATACTGATAATTATAAATTAATTTTATTTTTTTAAATTAATTTTACACATTTTAAAACAATGTTACATTTTCCTTCCAAATTACAGAAAGAGAATAAACTCTTTTTCGAATGAGAATTTCAATGACATTTGTAATTTATTTATTAATAATATATAATCTATGCATTTAATCAATATTTCTGCCGAATATCTTTCACCAAAGTCTAAGAAATTTTATTTTTTACTAAACTAGTAAAGATATCTATTATTGTTATTGATATTTAAAAACATAGATACACACTTACTGACAAAATATCTCTTCAAAAAGTGGCGTTGACATGTAATATTAAGTCAAAGCAAAGAATAAAATTCAAAAACCGAAAGTTCTAATTGTGTAAACACAAAATCGAACTTACGCACACCACATAAAGTACATTTTTAAACGAAACCATGCGCGTTTTATTTCGTCATCCGTAAAACAATAAACAAAAGAGATTTTAAAAAAGTGAACAATTTAAAATTATGCACTTCTTTTCTAAAAACACTTTTGAGACGCTAATTGTGTATCTTGAGTTTTTGTATATCAATGATTATTATACACTGAATAAAATATCTATACATAAATTAAAATTGTAACTAAGCCGAATCTGTACATTAAATATTTTTTGGAAAATCTTATTGAAATAAACATTATTATCGATACAGTGGCCGAATCTATAGTTTTTAGAATTTTTGTCTGTCTGTCTGTTACCGCATCACAGAAAAACCACTGAAGGGATTTTGATGAAATTTGATATGGTGATAGCTGATTATCCGGGTCAACATATAGAATACTTTTTCCCGAAGGAAATATCTCATTTCTGAGTAAAAATACAAAAATTGCAATGTAAGAGTATACTCATCTGTAAAACCTAAGAATTTGGTATTTGGTCATCTTAACGTGGGCGGAGCTGCGGAATGCTAGTTTTACATAAGATTCTAGAACGTTTCAAATAAAATAGGTTACGCTCAACTTTTTTCTTCTTCAATTATTAACCAAATCAATAGTCTAACATTTCACATACTAAATTTAATGGATCTTTCTCACATATGAAAGCATATCTATTCTCACACCAGAGATCGTCGAACATACCATTTCTATACACAGCACCACAAAATTCTCCTGTCGTTGAATTATTTGGCTCACCCGGTGCAAATTTAGCGTATCCTGCTTCTGTAAGTGTTTGACCTGAAAATATCAAATGCAGTGTTTAATTAAAAGCACTAAACTCTTGAATTTAATAATGATTATAATTTTAGATATTAATTGTTGAGGCAGTGGTAGCCCAATAGCAATGCACTCGCTTGGAAAACCAAGTGAAACGGGTTCAAATCCCAGGTTTCGTAACTCTGATATTTTCATGTGCGATTCATTTTCAACATGATTACCACTTGTCTTACTGTGAAGGAAAACGTCGCGAGGAAACCTGCATGTCTAAGAAAACCTAGCAACTTTTCGAAAGACATGTGAAGTCCGCCAAACTTGGCCAGCGTGGTGGACTATGGCCTAAACCCCCTGGTATTGAAGGAAGGCCCGCGCCCAGCAGTGGGACGTTAAAAAGAGTTTTAAACTATATTTATAGTTTGACTATCATATTATGTAAGTTCAAAAGTAGTATAATATTGTAGCTTAACTTATTACAGTCACGAAAATCGATATTTATAAATAAACCTATCTATATAAAAAGTAACTGTTTTCAAATTTTTTTATTGATAAAAAAGCTGGTTAATAGATGCTAAATAAATATAAAAATAATCAGTTGAAAAATAAAGGACAAAAAGGTACTAAGCTGTTTTATCTTTATTTATATATAGACCTTTTTTCCTTAGCTTAAAATAAGCTTTGAAGTCATTACAAAAGTTGCAAAGCAAGAAATACTCTACAAAGCTCTGAAATAATATTTTATACAATCAGTGGTTTTTGGGTGAAACAAAATTATACTTTATGGCTTATTACCTTTCATTCCATTATTGAACAAATAAAGTATAATGGAAATATTATAACATAATGATTCGGATATTATAGGATATATCGTCCCCTTTCTGTGTAAACCTCGTAACTCCATTTTTTTCGAAATTGAGATTTTTAGCGAAAATCACTCCTTAGCACTCTTGTAACGTAAAACAAAACAAGCAATGTTCATAATGTTGATAGAATTTTTTTTAGAGGCTTTTGATTTTTCTCGTATCTACATGTTCGAATTCAAAAACCTCGTATCTACCGTAAGTATCGCTGAAAACGTTAAGATGGCGTTGTTGTCTTATTACTGAATGTTTGTAAACATGTTCACACTTAAGTTGACTGTATTTTGTTGATTGACATTTATTTTTTATTCATATGAATACATATAAAATTATTAAAATTTGGTAAAATTTGAGACAACTATTTATCAGAAATATTTAACTGTTGGTCATACACAAATGGAGTGCGACTCTGTTCATTCATCTATTGAAAGAAAAACAAGGAACTCTACGTGCCAGCAGATTTTGTTCGCATCATCAAAGAAGCTAGAATGAATCCAGAGCCATATAAAGTTATTTATGTTGATCACACATTTTTTAAGGATTTTTCTAAAATAAATTTTTACAAATCGATAAGACCCGGTTCAAAAACAGGAGATCCACAAGTTACTGATTTAAAATGTCTTAAATACGATTCAACTGGGCTGTATTGTAAACTCGATTACCAGAACGATTGGACCTTATTACCTCAAGAAAAATCTAGAATAAATGTAAATCGAAAAAATATTATCACTCCGTTATATAAAAAACCGATTTCTATTACATCAAGAAAATTCAAAGATTTGCAAAGTTTGAAAAGATTGCTACCCCAAGATTATCATAATTTCTATAATCAATTAAAAGTTGAATCTACTGTAGAAGAATAAGTTTAAAAAATTGTAAAATTGATCCTTACTTCTTAGTTCTAGTTATTGTTCAAGTTATTTCTTATTACTTATTTTTCAGATTATCCTGCTGTTAATTTGTACATTATTCAATAAATTGTAAACATATTTGAAAAAAATAATTAAATCATATTATAAATAGTAATCATATGATTTATAACACATTAAATCAAAATCAAATGAATTTGTTTTAATTAATAAATATAAAATTTAATTTCAAAACCTCGTATCTGCAAAAAAGTTACCAGGGTATTTGATGAAAAAACTCGTATCTACGTTAAATTGATAATAACAACAAGGTATCGATGCAGATAGCAAAAATGATGTTTAATTATTTTAAGGTGATAAATAAAGAGTATAAATTTTAAATTAGTTATAACTTTTTATAAAAATTAAGTAACTCTAAACGTTTTTATCGATTTACTGAAAATTAAGATTTTGTAGATACGAGGTTTACACAGAAACGGGACGATATGTGATCGATGTGTATGTATGTTCCCTATGGACTCCAAGACGGCTGGAGCGATTTTGATGAAATTTTAAGCAATTTTCAGATTAGCCCAGTGGGTGATCGTATGAAGTTAGCGATCGGAAGTTTGTATGCGGACGAAGCAGTGGGTTGATACTGCTAGTTTGCTTTGTTTTTTGAATATAATAAATGCTTACAACACGCAATAACTTTATATTTATATATTTTCATCGTTTTCGTCAGGTTATGTACCTATATATTTCATCATCAAAAATCTCGACAACATAACCTTTAATTATCGACCATATTTCTGCAATTTTCACTCATTTAAGTATCTTCTATCTTAAAATATTTATTTCTTAGTGAACTGCCTCATTGAGGAAAACAAAGGTGAATCGTATATGCCACAAAAGTTTTAATCTTTTTTATTACTACAAAAATCATTTACCCACGCTTTGAAGCCATTAACAATAAAATTGAATTGAATCATTTACCTATTTATGAAGTGTACACCTACCTTGTATTGTCAAAAACTCTCCATGCTCGCCCCAGTCATGGAAACCCACGAAAGCGACATCCTTCCAAAAGACACCTGGTATCGAAATGGCGGGATGTTTCAAGAAAATGTCTTTGATGACCTAAAACGAATAATTTATGTTATTAAGATAAATTTAACAACAATTTTTATCCTACGCAATTGGATTCAATATCAAATATAAAGATAAAGTTGGCTGGTTAATAATTTGATTGAATAATGAAAATAATTTGAATTAATTGTATATAAGATAGCGACACACCCTTGCTTCGCTCGGGTTCGTTCCTAGCTTGGTTCCCAATACAAACTTTTATCCCTATTTTCATCCCGTTAAGGAGTGTTTTTCGGGATAAAAAGCATCTTATGTCCGTTCCAGGGTCTCAAACTATTTTTTTACCAAATTTCATCTAAGACGGTTCTATAGATCCAGAGATTACCCCCTAAAACGTCACAAACTCACAAACTTTACCTCTTTATAATATTAGTTTTTTTTCTCCTTTCCTTCTTTTGTATTCTCTTAAAACAAAAAAAAATGATACTTCAATCGAAACGCAAAATAACTTTAACAGAATTAGTGATTGAATTACGACCACAATTTTTTTAAAATTAAAAATACTAAAACTCGTCAATAGCTACTAAACAAAAAAAAGATAAAAAATAGAGGAGTAAAAAGTACTAAACTGATTTGTCTTTGCCTATTTACATATAGATACTTACTTTAGACTCTTTCTCGCTGTTGATTATGGCCAAGTATCCGCCCTCAGCCGTGCAAGTCATGAACGCCCTCGACCAAGTTCGAGGTACAGTATGGAATTTGTAACAGCTTCCGGTTCGCTCATCGAACTTGTATTCTAATGAAGGAATTGAAATTTATGAAATAATATGGAATTGTGACCTTTTTGCATAAATTTTTTAACACGTTTTTATTCACTTCACTTGTAACTAAGTAAATAAATAACTAATGTAATAAAACTTAGATCTTCTAAAGTCAATTTTAGCTGTATCGAAATAAAACTTTGTATTTTTTTTGTTAGGACATTAACCATTATAACCAGCAATCATTGTCACGGGAGAGACTAAGGTTTTAGCTGTCTCAAAGACATTATATAGTTGTTACAGACAGCCGACCCACGAATAACAAAATAAATTCAAAAAAATTAAAAATGGTACCAAAGTACCTTACAATATTTGTTAATTTTAATTTTAAACATTTTTATAAGTTTTACAATTGAATATGGAATAGTTTATTTTGGATTGTTATTATTATAATTATTCCAATTTTTTAGAAAACTTTATTAAAGAATATAAAAGATTTATTATTCAAGCCACATTATTGTGTAATTTACAAATCAAAAAAGTAAAAATTACTTAAGAATAATAATTTTAATTTAGTTTGCTATTAGGTAATTAAAACATTTTTTTTATCAACTATCTAGTGTCCATAACACAAGCAAGCCTTCTTCTAAGCTTACCATGGAACTACATAGATAGTGCTGTGTGTTAATGTCCCGAAATATTTATTTATTATTCTTTACTTACCAAGATCTGAGGTTCCGCATATAGTAAAATGAACGTTTTTGGGGCTCTTCTTATAACAGAAGTAAGGCAAAGTCTCAGTACAATCCGCATCAGAAATTTCACCACTCGATGACATCGTTATACACTGCTCTTCATCATTCAGATTGTTTGGCTCATACGGCCCCCATTTATGCGGAATAATTGAAAGAGGTACACCTAAAAATTCATAAGAACGAGTTTAGTCCGACAGGATCTAGATTAATATTATTACTATATCGCTCGGGTGTGTCCCTAAGTAAGAGGATTTAGTTCAGAATTTCATGAGTTTTAATTTTTCATGAGTTCTAATTCTTTTTCTAAAATAAAAAGTACCCTAAGTTACTTCTTATAACATCAGCTAGCCAGTGAAAGTCACGCCAAAATCGGTCCAGCTATAAGTCAGAACAAAAAGACAAACAGACAGACAGACAACAATTTTAAAAATTGATATTTTTTCTCATAAATACGCTATATACTTTCACATACATATATAATTAAAAATCTGTTATTTTGACATTACAAACAGACACATATATTTTATTTACTTGTGTGTATAGATATATAGAATATGTATATTATTTCTAAATTTATTATAGAGCATGTAAACAAACAATCTTATGTATATATGTATATCAGCGACTTACCTTCAATGGTATGGAAGTCACCCCTAGAAAACGTTGCATGTATACCAGTAAAGACCCCATTTTTGATGTTGCTATTTTTATCCATGTACAGTCGCATAATTGAATTAAACATGTTATTTATAGGAGACGCTAGCTGGCCGCCTATAATAAAAATATAGGTACTTTGATTCCTTTCTTACATAAAAAATCAATCTTGATTATAAAATATTTAGAAGAAATTAGAAAATAAGAAATTTTCATCTTAAAAGAATGAGCTGTAACCATTATAGAAGTATCATTTATCTGTCTAAAGTTTTTTTTTTACTATTTCAATATAAACTCCTATTAAAAGAATATATACATTTTTAATAATTTTAAGGTATATACAATTATATAATATCTGTGATGTGAAATTATAGATGTAAAGTATTTTGTTTCAATAATAGGCGACGCCACTTTCCGGCAACATTTTAATACTACCAGTTTTTCCAAGTGTTACTCAAGATCAGTCTTTCTGTCTACTTTTCATTCAAATCCGTCAAGCCGTAATTTTGACATAAAACTCAATAACTAAACACAGGCCTCGAACCCAGGACCTGGATGCAGCCGTACATGCTAGCCACTGATCGACCGTGATTAAAAATAATAAAAATAAGTCCTCCTGACCGATTCCGACCACGGCGGCCAATCTCATTGAGACTAGCCAACTGCGCAGGAGATATTATAGTGCGCAAGTGTACGCGCAGACTCTCTCATTTGCATCTGCACTCTCTATTCCTGACCAGTGAGAGTTAAGGCGCAGGACCGAGGCACGGGGGTGAAACACCACCAACTTCCCAACTCCGGGCTGTTACTGAGGCTTACTAAACAGAAAGACTCAATAATTAAACATGGGACTCGAACCCAGGATCTCCGGATGTGTAACCGTACATGCTAGCCACTACACCACCGAGGCAGTTGAACCGTTACACCACCGTGATTATTCACTACTTATTGATTTACCAAGGAGAATGTTTAAAGAAATAATATTTACCTTCCAGGTGACATCGTAACCGTGCTTCGTGCCAGTTCGCAGGTATCTCCTGAAGCTTTAAATAGCCCTCAATCTCAGAGTAATAGGTATAGTCGCATCGAAAACGTTGTCCAACTATTATTCATAATATTAATGTTAATTTGAATTTGACGTAATTATTTATTATTTTTTATTTATCAACTAGCATTGCCCGCGGCTCCGCCCGCATTCAGGTGACCAAAAACCAAATTCTTAGGTTTTATATATTAGTGTAGTCTTACATTTCAGTTTTATTTTTTCTCAGAAATGAGACATTTCCCCGCAGTAAAAAGATAATCAGCTATCACCATACTAAATTTCATCAAAATCCCTCTAGTGGTTTTTCTGTGTTGCGGTAATAGACAGACAGACAGACAAAAATTCTAAAAACTATAGATTCGGCCTCTGTATCGATAATAATGTTTATTACAATAAGATTTTCCCAAAAATATTTAATGTACAGATCTTATATATTTAAACGAGCTATTCTTGTATATATATAATCTGAATCTCGGAAACGGCTCCAATAATTTTCATGAAATTTAGTATGCAGGGGGTTTTGGATGCGGTAAATCGATCTAGATTAGTCTTATGTCTGGGAAAACGTGTGTTTTCGAATTTTCATGCGGTTTTCTTTCGCATTATTCCACGCAAAATATGGTCGATAATTTCGCACACTCGGGCATAAGTCCTAAGTAAGTAAGGTCATGTTCAAGCGGTCAAGGCCCAAGATTGACAATCATATGTGTCCGGGTTCGAATCCTGGTCGGATACAAGGGTGTAATTTATTTTTGTTGTTTTTTTTTTTCAAGCTTTTCGTTTTTTTTTTTAAAGAAAATTGTACTTTTGACCAAAAACTCCGAACGAAGCTCGGTGGCCCAGGTACTGTATAGATAATACGTCGTTACCATATCCTAACGTATAGATTAAATTAGTTAAATAAGACGACCACTTTTTTAATTTTGGGAAATTAGGGATGTTGAAAAAAATGGGAATGCATTTACGCATACCACCTGTATACATACAGTTTGTTATGTGGGAATCACCGGCTAGAAAATCTAGTACTACCCACTAAAACCTTTACCAACCAATCTTTGAGAAAAAATCCAAATCTCTCTATTGTTACAGACTCTTTAATATTATATTGAATTCAGTGAGTGAAGAACTACTTTAAAAATACTGGCAGTCTTCTCCATTCTACGTGACATTGGCGAAGTAATATGTGCGCAAGACTGTGCCTTGAAGCCATTAAAAGAAAATTGAATTGAATTAAAGATACTCGCAAGATATGACATATAAAATAATACATGTGAATTGTTAAATAAAGTCTATATCAATATTGAATATGTAATTACATTTTATACTAGCGTCCTCACGCGGCTCCGTCCGTCCGTTGTTTAATTGTAGAATTATTCCGCTCACCTAGGTGATAGTGTGATGTAAGATAGCCTATAACCTTCCTCAATATCTTCTATATAAATAAAAATGAAGGTTCGTCTTTACGTTCTTAAACCATTGATCCGATTATGATGAAACTCTGCTGGGTTTATCTGTATACGTCTGCAAAATTGCAAAATTTGCTTGTTTGTTTGTACCGGAACTCATACTTTAAAAATGGGGATGAAAGTTTGTATAGGGAATCAACCTTGGGACGAAGTCGTGAGTCGCTAGTAGGCTATATAACTCAAAAAGTTCTTTTCGAATCGGGCCAGTGATGCAGAGACAAGCGCGTTCAAATAAAAAAAAATCTCCAGTTTTAACATAGGTATATAGGACAAACATCTTCTACTCACCCGTATTCGCCGCACATAATATTAATAATTGGAATAAAAATAATATGCCACTCATACTGTTGTCGTTTTTAAGGTTATTAACATAATTTTAGGGCTTTATATATAAATCGTAGCGTAAAAATTATCATTATGTATGATTTTATGTATCGTTTCACCTAATTAAGATAACGTCAACTGCAAAATGTAACTTAATTTAAATTAATATATTAAAACATTTTTCTTAGGATTTTAGATTTTTATAGCACATCAAGATATGACAAAACACGGCTGCAGAATTTGAACACAAGCCTCGTAGCTTACCATGGAACTAGATGGTGTTGTGTGTTAATGTCCTGACATATTTATTAATTAAAAATAGGCGCTAACTGCGGGTCAAAACGCGCATCGACAACGCGTTAAACTATAAAGTAACCTTATATATGCCTTGAAGTACTACTCTACCTTTAAGGTACCACTGTACTGCACGGACTAATTCGAGTGAGTCATATGAAAAAGGTTTGGCACATATCAGGTTCGAAACACAGGGTTTGTACCCGTTTCGCTAAAATTACAATTTACAATATATGTAAATATATACAGCTTTTCTTACTAAATATCCCTATTCTAGAATAATTACCCAAACTCGTTTTTTGGACCTTTTTCTTGTATCGTTTTATGTCACAAACTAGGTAAAAAATTGGAGTGCGTTCAGCTCAAAAGTTTCATCACAATAAGATCATCAGTGTAATGTTAGTGGCATATAATCGTAATCGCAAAAAAATTGCATCACTATCAGTGATCAAATTCAGTCAGTTTTGAAAAAAAAATAGTTGTTGAACATTATTTTTTATATATTAGATTCACTCAACTGAGTTTGTATTTTTTCGATTAATTTTTTTTTTTTGTTGATTTATTTTTATGTAACTAAAAATTGAAAAATTGAAAAAAACTTTTGTTACAACTTGAAAAAAAAACATACGAGTAAATCGTATCTAATCAATTACTACAATTAATACCGTTTACATATTGTAATTTATAAAAATTAATTTCAAGCATTTTAGGTTTTTTTTGATATAGTATTGTTTGTATTTTTTTTTGTATTTAATATTGTGATGACAGAATCGTTACAATAATGTTGAAGGATAAAACCTTTGTGGATTGTTTTCGATCGTCGCCATTTTAGTTCTTTAAACTAAAAAAACTTAAATATAGGTATGGAGGACAAACAAACAAAAATATAAAGTATATTAGAGCCCATATGTTACATTTATTAGCTATTTGGAGGCGAATTTCTATACTGTGACAAAATTTAATTCGTTGATACGTTTGGCTCCATTTGTAGTGACCCTACCTGCTGTGCCAGCGATCACGGGTTCGAGTCCACTGGGAGCATTCATTTGTGTGAGCACGAACGTTTGTACTTCTGTCATGGGTGTATAAATTTATAATATGCATGTATTTAAAATTATATATGTGTAGTGTATTAACTATCTGGTATCCATAACTCAAGCCTCGTAGTTTACCATGGAACTAGATGGTGCTGTGTTAATGTCCCGACATATTTATTCATTTTATTTATTTAATTAAAATTGGGACATACATTAACAAGTGGGAGCCTGAACTCGCGTAATGAGAGTTCGGTACTACCAATCATTTTTGAGTCGTTGACCACAAGAAAATGTTTTATGCTCCTTATTTTACACCATATCTCAAAAACTACTAAAATATTAATCTCACAACAAACTCTTGATATGACCATAGTATCATTTGTTAGTAATATAACGGGATAATTAAAAATCAAAAAACATATTGCCGGACACTCACTAACTTCAATAGTCCGTTAAAATAATTTCAGAATCTAAATCTAACAATATTTAAATAAAATACGTTAAGATTGGCCATTTTATGATAATAATAATGTCCTCATGACCGATTTTGGCCAGAGCGGCCAATCTCACTGAGTATGGCTAACTGCGCAAGAAATAGGAAGCGCCCCAGTGCGCTCTCTATTCCTTTCACTCTCGAATTTCTATGAGACGACAATCCGACGTGATCAGCCAGAGAGAGGCGCAAGACCGACTAAACTAAACTTGGCACGACGCGGGATTCAAACCCAGGATCTCCTGTTCTGTAACCGTACATGTTAGGAACTAGAGCGCCAAGACAGTTAAAATTTTTTTTAAGATGAACGAACCGGTAAAGTCATTCGACTAATTTTTGGAAATTGTACTACTCAGCTAACTAATAAAATGTTGTTTAAATAAGAATAACTTTTTACAATTCAAAGTATTTATTACTTAAGTAATCATCGTTCTGTCTATACATAAATGCCATACTTTGTTTGACACGATATCTAAAACAGTGTTACATTTTCTTTTAAACTAGACAGCCCACTTTTATCTCACCTAAAGTATTGTTTCCTTAAAAGGGAATAATTGTAATTGCTAAGGTATTTGGTACAATTGGTTCAAATTTTGTCTTGAACTAAATTTAAAATTTTATATTACAATAAAAAATCAGGTCTAAGAATATTTTTCTACCAATTACTAAATAAATTTAACATGTTTTGATTATACTCGTATTAGTCCATATCCATAACAACAATTTCGTCTTCACATAATAGACTATCTCGATCTTTCTCACATATAAATGCGTATTTGTCCTCGCACCACAGATCGACAAACATACCATTTCTGTACACTGCGCCACAAAATTGTCCAGTCGTGGCATTATTTGGCTCACCTGGCGAAAATTTGTCATAACCTGCTTTTTTTAGTGTTTCACCTGGAAAAACAAGATAATACTTTATTAGAGTTGGTAAGTCAATTTAATTCAATTTTTGGTTTGTTTTATTTTGTTGTTACATGACGGTATCCTGACTATTTCGGCCATGGCGGTCAATCTCACTAAAACTAACCAACTGCGCAGGATATATTATAGTGTACAAGTATACGCAGAGACCCTAGTGCACTATCCTTCCTTTCACTCTCACATTACGATGAGACTATAATTCGACAAGACCGGTGAGATATCAGGCGTAGGACCGATGGCTTTACGTGTTCTCCATGCTGGCATGGCACGACTAACCTGACATAAACAACTTCCCAATTTCGGGCTGTTACTGGGACTTCTTAACAGAAAGACTTAATACAATCAAGACCTACCCGGGACTCCAGATCAGGGTCTCTGTGTGCAGCCTTACTTACTAGCTATTACACCACCGAGACAGTTAAGTGTTACATACATATGTACTATGTAGTACATGATTATATGTACGGACACTCTCATACAAACATACATATATGAAATAAGTACTAACACAGTTAACTGCTCGGTGGTATAGTGACTAGCATGCCCGTTTGCTAGATTCAAAGAATTCGAAAGGGCTAAGTATAGCTATTGAGGTTTTCGTCGAGCAATCTTATCACGTCCTTGGGCAATCTCGATCCGACTATGTCCAATAAAGCTTTGCTCATATACTAGTGTTACATATCTTTTATATCTTTTATTACCCGAATGCAAGAGAAGGGTTGTGTTTTTCGCGCCTATCTTTGTATGTTTGTTTGTTTGTAATATACTTTATTCTCATTAGTCCAAGTGTTCTTAGATAGGTGAAATAAAAAAACATGAGGACTGCTAGATTCCATAATGTGAAAAAGAAAAAAATGAAAATCAACGAACTATGTCAAGTGGGGTATCGTTAAATAGGTATTTAAAAATCATTTTTAGGTTTCTTTCGTCATTTTTTATTTTACATAATAGTTAAGGATATATAATGATTTAAAGTTGGAGACATCCATACGAGTATGTACATTTCGCGGCAAGGATGACACGTGTATGTCTCCGACTGCATAGTACTATAATATTCCATCGTGAACTTGTTTTCATCTTTTTAGTTAGCTTTTATGCAGTCATATATTTTTTTCTTCGAGGTAATATTTCGCAATCTTTTATTTAATTATCATTATTTAATACCGAGTTTTGAACAGACACGTGTTTTTTGAACAGACTTAGAGCTGTACCCATGAAACTCAATATATATATCATAACTAGCGAAAGTGCATGTCAATTTAATCTGGAGAAATATTTTAAAGTTATATGAATATGGACACTTAAAGTATATTTAGTATAATATATACGTTAAAAAAATGAAATAAATAGTCAAAATAATTATATATAATTATTTGAGGCATACCTTGTATTGTTAAAAACTCTCCGTGTTCGCCCCAATCATGGAAACCCATAAAAGCGTCATTGTTCCATAAGGATCCCGGCATCGACCCACCAGGATGCTTGGCGAAAATTTCTTTAATCACCTTTAAATAAATAATAACAATAATTATATTATTATGTAGACAGCAGTAGCCCAGTGGAAACGCGCTCGCTTGAGACACTGAGTGAAGGGGGTTCAAATACCGAGTCTCGCACCTCTGTTATTTTCATGTGCGAGTCATTTGCAATATTTGCCCACTTGTCTTACGGTAAAGAGAAACATCATGAAGAAACCTATGTAGGTTTTATAAAGAAACAACTTAGAGAACTTAGTAAGTTTTCGCAAGACATGTGAAGTCCGACAACTCACACTTGGCTAGCGTGATGGAATATGGCCTGATCCCCCTCGTATTGAAGGGAAGCCCATGCCCATCAATAGGACTTTAATTTTTTTTACTGAATATATATTACAATGAATGAAATAAAAATGACTTTTTTCTTCAAACCACTTGTCTTCTTTGCAAAATCATAACTCTGACCGTGGAGCAATATGGATGTAAAATAAAACCTACCTGAGACTCTATCTCGCTGTTGATTATCGCCAAATATCCACCCTCAGCCGTGCAAGTCATGAAGGCCCTCGACCAAGTCCGAGGTACAGTATGAAATTTGTAGCAACTTCCAGTGCGAACATCTGGCTCGTATTCTAAAAAGAATTTTGTACAGTCAATAGGCCATTTATGTATGTGTGTTTTCGATAATTTCTGCTTCCAAGTAAATTATATCCTTGATACTGTTGATTATAGTTTGTTTTTTAAAACATAATTGTAGATAAATTTATAAAAAAAATAAGTTTGGCCTTGAGATTATTGTCAAAGTTACATGAATATGATCTTCCTCAATAAAAATGTAAAAATATTATGCAAATCGGACTCATACTTTCACACATTAACTTAATATAAACACTCTAAATTGGTATAAAATTGCTTGTTTCGAGCACAGTGGCCAACCTCACAGAGACTATCCTTCTGCGGAGGACATATTATAGTGTATATATAACACTAGCGACTCACCCTCGCTTCGCTGGGGTCGTTCCTAGCTTGCTTCTTCGTCCCTTGAGGGATGATTTCCGGGATAAAAAGTATTCTATGGCCTTTCCAGGGTCCCAAGCTATCTTCATACGAAATTTTATCTAAATCAGTTCAGTAGATCCGGAGATTATCCCCTACAATGTTACAAGCTTACAAACTTTACCTCTTTATACTATTAGTATAGATAATGTATATGTGTGCACGTCGCTATATGCGTGCGTATGCGCATTCGTCATATAGATAAAACAATATTAGGCTAATAAATTAATAAGACTTATACTACTAGCAATATCTAAAACCAGTAGAGCGTTTAGAACTAGTTATTCTCAATAAACCAATAATTGCCTCAGAAAATAAACATGCTGAGCTCCATAGCATGTAATTGATACAACAAATCAAAACTCAAATGTAGTTAATCAAGTTCGAAGATACATAGCGTAACCCTGTCGTATCGCACTAATATATCAGCTCTAATGGTCCCGAAGCCGAACCTTATCTGCCTAGAAACATACATATAGTTCCTAATAACTTTGGGTTATATATTTGAAAGTATTACAAACTAGCGATTCACCCTCGTTTCGCTCGGTTCGCCCTAGGTTGTTTCCTTATACAAACTTTCATCCCCATTTCAACCCTTTTAAGAGATGATTTCCAGAATAAAAAATATCCTATGTCTCAAACTATCTTCTTACCAAATTTTATCTAAATCCATCCAGTAGTTTTTGAGTTTATTCGTTACAAACATACAAAAAAAAATCCTCTTTATAATATTAATGTGTTAATGTAGATAAATAAATTTAATATATTTAAATTTTACCATACGTAATAAAATATACTAAATAATAGTTTCTATCTTTTATCTATCCTTTGTAACTGTCAAATATTAATGCAAAATTAAAAAAATATACTTAGGAATCACTAAGACTATAAGCACTTGCTACATTATTTGACTCTAAAATTTTATTAGAAATTGAATTAAGCTAAACCGCTAAATATTGTAAGAAAATCTATATTCAGTAAAAGAAAACGTAGAACTACAAAAAATTACAAAATATACTCACGAGGATCTACAGTACCGCATCCATTCAACATAACACTTTCGCTACTCTTGTAATAACATAAGTAAGGCAAAGGCTCGGAGCAGTTCACATCAGCCAGTTCTCCACTTGGTAGCATCATTATACACTGTTCTTTATCGTTATAGTTATCTGGCTCATCTTTTGCCCATTTGTGAGGGATTCTTGACAAATGCACACCTAAAATTATTTTTTTAAATGATTTTTTATTGTAGAACTTCTTCATTGATGAAAAATATCTTATCAAAATCCTTAATTCTTACTTTCTTATGTAATGTAACTTGCAAAATGTTTATCGATTTAACGTGATATTTAGACCATGAGTTTGTTGTAGAAATGACCTAGATGTTATCTTATATATATATACATATATATAGATATATATACGTAAAATTCTATATATTATGTAAGTATTAAGTCGTGTATATATACGTATTGTAATTTGTATAATAAAATATTTTCCTGCAATATATTACCACGCCGACACTTCTTCTGAATCGATGAGCGGAATAGATCTCAACTGAGTTCATTACAGACTCCACTTCGCTAAATAATATTTATTTTCTTAGTACCCTAATTTTGTAAACCAAAAATCAAAATAAATAAGCAAAACAATTGGAACATATAGTTTTCAAAAAAGTATTAAGTAATATTTGTTTCTAATTTCTATTTCATTATTAAGTGTAATAAATAAAATATTATAATAGCTTTAAAATGCTACTCTTAAGTATTTAACGTTATCTAAAGTTGACCAAGTTGACCTGATTATCTCATATAGCGGGAATACCCGTACATATACAAAACAAGATGACACAGGAAAACATGCAGTCAAATAGACCATTCCACCACACGGGCTAATTTCCTTACAAGCATACTTAAAATTTCTTTAACCATGTTGTGTAATAATTGTCAAAATTATTGGCACAAAAAATGTGAGCACTGACTAAATAGATACTAAGTCAAGATCTAAACCCGCTTCAAGTGGTCTTTTACGAGACTGTGACGTTCTCCTAGCCGATTCCGGCTACGGCGGCCAATCTCATTGAGACCAGCCAACTGCGCAGGAGATATTATAGTGCGCAAGTGTACGCGCAGACACAACGTGCACTCTCTATTCCTGTCACTCTCATACTCCGGTGGGACGACCACTCGACACGACCAGTGAGACTTAAGGCGCAGGACCGACGGCTTAACGTGCTCTCCTAGGCAAGGGGGTGAAACACCGCTAACTTCCCAACTCCGGGCTGTTACTGAGACTTTACTATACAGAAAGACTCAATAACTAAACTTGGTCCGACCCGTTATTCGAACCCAGGACCTCCAAGTGTGCAGCCGTACATGCTAGCCACTACACCACCGAGGCAGTTTAAGAGACTACATAATATACCACCTAAAAACATACCTTCGATGGAATGAAAGTCGCCTCTAGAGAAGGATGCATGTATACCAGTAAATACTCCACATTTAAGTACACCTTCCCTCTCCATTTTTTTTCTCATTGCTAAACTTAATCCACTAGTTAAAGGAGATGCTAACTTGGCACCTGTAACAAAAAAAAATCTCATTTATTTTACATAAGAACCCAAAATCGTAGATTAAGCAAATATAAATGATTCCAGTTTTTCTAGAAGTTTAAATAGGTACGTAATTTTTTGTATATTAAACACTACCTCATGTATTCTGTGAAAATTTATTTTTTAATATATATATATATATATATATAGAGGACTGATTTGTTTCGACCACTGGATTTCCACCAAACCAGTGGTCGAAACAAATCAGTCCTCTGAGCTGTTCCAAACAATCTGTACATTCTCTGATTAGACAAAGTTCCATTTACTATAAACCTTGGAAAGTTTGAAATAACCAATAGTCTGTTTGTATTTAATATTATTCCTTGCTATATATTGTAACTGCTTTATTACCTCGAAAAGAATTAAATAATTCAAGCTTTTATCAGATAGATTTATGGAAATAAAACTAAATTTTAAGTTCATATTCACTTAATTCTAGACAAACACTTAGATATTCTAAATTTTTGTTTTTCTCTCATATTTTATCTCAAACAATGCCAATAATTCTTCAAAGCATTGGATTCGTCTATTTTTCGTAAGGAAGGTCGGTAGGCAGTTCTGTCGAAAAGAGCCGAGCGAGAAACTCAACAGTGCAAAAATATCTAATGTACAAGCTTATGCGTTTGCATATAAAATGTTTAGAGACAATATTCTTACCTTCAAGGTGACACCGTAGTCTGGCTTCCTGCCAATTTGCAGGTATCTCGTGCAGTTTTAAGTAGCCCCCAGCATCCGCGTAATAGGTATAGTCCCGTCGGAAACATTTTCCATCTAATATTGATAATAATTAATACACATTTTTTAATTTTCTCATAATAATTGCACTATGAAAGTTTCTTATAGAACTACTAGTAAAAATTATTTTTTTGATAATTTACCACAGGCAGATATTGAGCCTAATATAAATAAGCATAAGAATAAGTAGTAGCTTCATTTTAATTTAGGATGAAATTATTTACATACCTAATAAAGAGAATACTCCGAATAAAATACTAAACGCAAAACTGAATCTCATGATGATAGTCTCTGAGTGAGAATGTTTGCGCAAATGATATATAAAATAATAAGACTTATCATTGAAAAGTAGCGGCTTACACTCGCTTTACTCGGGTGCATCCCGAGGTACGCGAGTTTTGTTCACAATGTCATGGGTTTTAATTTCTTACGCGGAATCCCAATTCTTTTTCTAAAACAAAAATACTCTTAATAACTCCTTATAATATCAGCTATCTGCCAGTGAAAGTCCTGTTATAATTGGTCCAGTCGTTTCGGAGATTAGCCAGAAACAAACAGACGATAGACAAAAAATATAAAAATTCTTTTTTTCTTATTAGTACCGTATATACTTTCATATGCATTTAATAAAAAGCTGTTACTTTGAAATTACAAACAGACACTTCAATTTTATTTATCTGTATAGATTATTATATGTAAAGGGTTATCCAGTTTGTCGATAACACGGAAGTTGGTAAACGGGAGTTAACATGAGATAATGATTTCTTATAATGTGTGTTTTAATTATTTTCTATTTGTGACTTGCGGTATAAAAAAGTGGCATCATAATATTGATAAAATCGGAAAATACAAGACTACGTGTTCCTCGAGGTATCCGAAGCATCAAATATTAGATCTGTGTTACATTTTAACGTTCGTTAGGTACGTAAAACTAATTATATATTAAGTCAAACAGTTTCTGCAATATTTATTTTATTAATAGCACTGTCTCGGTAGTGTAGTGGTTAGCATGTATGGCTGCACACCTGGAGGTCCAGGTTCGAGTCCTGGATCGGGCCAAGTTTAGTTATTGAATATTATATATATTTGAAGATAACAAATTACACAAAAATCCACTCACTGACAGACACAAAAGACAAGATCAGTGCCTAGTCATTAAAATTTGACTTCAATAGACCCATTAATATTTCTAAAACGCAAAAAGGTCTGAATCAAATGATCACTTAAGTTAAAATAAGTCATTTACAGTTCACGAATGGCACTCAATTTAAAGCATCTAATACATAAACTGGAAACCATAACCGTATTTGATTAAAGCTATCTACATACCTGGCATGCTATGCCAAAAATATATTTTAGAGACGGTGAGATTAAGATCTACGCAATTATCATGTATTCGTGATTAGATGCCCTTTTGAATTCATAATATTATGAAACTTATACTACTACAAATATCATCGTTGATTGATGTCCTGATTCTTCTTATCTTCTCGTTTCGTCAGATTCTTATTAGGACTGAGGGCTTTTGTTTCCAAACTGTTGGTTAGCTACATGATGTTCAGTAAAAAGCTATAATAATTTAACTCCCAATAAAACATTTATATTTAACTAGCGGCTCACACAAATAAAAACAAACCTATCCCACTGGAACCGCACATTTTTCTGAGGGAAAAAGCCCTATGTGCTATCTGACTATAATCTATCTCTATCCCAAATTTCATCCAGATTCGTTCAGCCTTTCTGGCATGATTGAGTAACAAACATCCATCCATCCAAACTCTCGCATTTATATAGTAGAGTCTGGCTAACGAAAGCGTGTCCTCGAGTTTTCTCAAAAGTTTTGATATGGCAATATTATTAAGCTGTCAAAGATACGTCAAACTTCAAAGTCTGTGGTTACTCTGGTTTTAAGCGTTGTTAGTAACTGTATACGTTCTTGTGCATAAATACATACATAATCGTTGGCTCACTATTACAAGGTTCTATGTTACAATTTTAGTACTTATTTAGTTATTAATGCTACAAGGTTTTAATGCTAATAGCGGCACTTTAACGACAAAATATTCAATTTTACATAGTTCTATGTTGTTTTTTTATGATAACAAAATAACGAAGTTCTATGTAAAAATTACTAAACTTCATTAAAATTAACATAGAACCTTGTAATAGTGCGCCAAAGAATTATGACGTGAAACGTGTATACTAATATTAAATAAATAAATATATGTTGGGACATTAACACACAGCGCCATCTAGTTCCATGGTAAGCTATGAGGCTTGTGTTATAGATACCAGATAGTTGATACACTACACATATATAACTTTAAATACAATTGTATTATAAATATAAACACCCATGACTTGAGTACAAACCTTCGTCATCACACAAATGAATGCCTCCAGCGGGATTCGAACCCGCGACCGCCGCCACAGAAAGTAGGACGACTACAAACTGAGCCAAACATCTCGTCAAACCTCAAATAAATCCAATTATATTCTTTTTTATTATTAAGATTCATTGCTTTCCTTGCGACTTGAATAAACAAAGATATAATTTAAATAAAACACCTTAGATATATCTTTAATTCGATGGAGACCTACCCTAAAAGTAATGTGTATGAAAATGAGCGCTTAACAAAATGATACTACAAAGCTCTTTCAAGCCTCCTGACAGAATGAATTAAGATTAAACCCTTTAGAAAATATTTACAAAAGCTCGTAGATTCAACTAATCTTGTGTATAATTTAAAATAGTAAACAAGAATGGTTACAGAGAGAGAAAATATAAAAGCTAAGGTATAGCAACCTCATATGATTTTAACTAAAATATATTTCTATTAATAAAAAAATATAAACTTCTCACTTATTTCATTTAATGACTTACTCAAGACTATAAGAAACAAACCTTCCCACGGGAACCGTAAACTTTTCTGGAATAAAAAGTAACGTATGTGTTATGTGTATCTATATCTGTGCCAAATTTCATCCAGATCCGTTCAGCCGTTCTGACATGAAAGAGTACAAACATCCATACTCACAAACTTTTACATTTATAATATTAATACGGATTAAAATCATTTCTTTTTGTTATTTATTTCTTAACTGATTTACTATTTTGTCCTTTGCAGGTGTCAATTACGAAAAATGGACCCTAAATAATATATTACTATATCTACATTTGAAACATGTAAAAATCTTTATATCAGTGCGGAATCGAGTGATATACAGGGTCATTTTTAATTTACTGAAAATCTTTTGGGAATGTACCATTTACATCATAACAACAACATCTGTAACAAGAGAAAATAATATTTCTGAAATTTTTATTTTTATACAAAAATAAAAATATTTTTTGCACCTTCTAAACTTTAAAGTTCTAGCATCTGGCCAAGTTTAAATGAGTAAGCGCGGCTTCCTACACCCCTCCACCCCTTCCCCTCCACTGGACACGCACTTTCTTTTGCTAATGCTGGACTATTACCGTTTAGAAGGTGCAAAAAAATATTTTTATTTTTGTTAAATTTAAGATATATATTTTTTCTTACAGATGTTGTTGTTATGTTGTAAATAGTGTATTCCCAAAAGGTTTTCAGTAAATTTAAAATGACCCTGTATATCTCTTACATTGTTTCAGCAGTAACTTTAACAATAACGATAAAAGTGATACGGTCAAGCGTGTCGTATAAGTCACATCGCGTTGAAAATTAGAATTTCTTACCAACATACTAAAATAGAAGTGAAGTTTGTTACTTCTTTACGCTGAAAAGCTGAACAGATTTGAATAAAATTCTGTACGCAGATAGACAAGTGTAGAACCTGAAGGAACATCTAGGCCACTGTTAGACGTTTGGCTCAATTTGTAATGACTCTACTTGCCAGGGCGGCGCGGGCAGTCGCGGGTTCTAGTCCCGCTCAGGGCATTCATTTGTGTGATGAGCACAAATGTTTGTACTCCAATCATGGGTGTTTATATTTGTAATATGTATATATTTAAAGTTATATGTATAATGTAGTGTATCAACTATCTGGTATCCACAAGACAAGCCTCGTAGCTTTCCATGGAACTAGATGGTGCTCAGGTGTGATGGTGTTTGGGACCTTAATACTCCCAACATATTTATTTATTATTTATGTTAGATGCCGAGGGACGTATTATACATAGCTTAGTGAGAATCACGTAATACAACAAAGTACTAATGCTTTTAGAACAGAAAATCCATTAAATAAATTAAAAGTTATCAAACTTCATTTATTTTTTAATTTTCACTTTTAAAGATGGAAATGGTTTTTCCCCCTGAGAGATCCTATTGAATATTACCAATGTTTCTGAATGCCTCCGAACTCTCGATGAGTTAAACAACTAACATAACAAAGTTATTGTACCGGGGGATTTCGCAACTTCACATCGATATAGTAATGGAATTTGTTAAGTTTTGATTTGCAACATTTAATATCTAAACCTTTTGTCACAGTGAGACTATTAAAAATCCTGAACTGAATTCTTATATTTTTCAATACTTTATTGATTTCACAATAATTTCAATTACGTCAGTTAAAAAACGTCGTTACCTTTTCTTTCTTTAATTTGACATTGACGCAATTGTAAAATATTGTCGATAAATCTATATGTCTATATTATCTATCTATTATATATATATATATATACATATATATATATATATATAATAAAATTCAAACTAAGCCGAATCTGTACATTAAATATTTTTTGAAAGATCTTATTGAAATAGACATTATTATCGATACAGAGGCCGAATCTATAGTTTTTAGAATTTTTTTCTGTCTGTCTGTTACCGCACAGAAAAACCACTGGAGGGATTTTGATGACATTTGGTATGGTGATAGCTAATTATCCGGGTCAACATATAGGATACTTTTTACCGCGGAAAAATATCTCATTTCTGAGAAAAAACACAAAAAACTGCAATGTACTCGTAAGGTATACTAATATGAAAAACCTAAGAATTTGGTTTCTGGTCATCTGAACGCGGGCGGAGCCGCGGGCAATGCTAGTCTTATATAACTTATCAAATCACATGAGAAAGTGTGGATATAAAAAAAACTTGAACTGTTGCTTCCGACGGAAAATCTAACAAAACAGAGGTATATAGCGTTAACCGAAGTGTAAAACACCCCTTCAATTCACACATTAGGAAGGTTTTCAGATGGGCCCTCAGGTACTTTTGCAAATCCCCGAAGCGAGACTGGTAATTTTGTTTGGATATTTCGAGGATCTGAGATGAAAACATAATATTTTATATA